CCAAGAATCATCCTTAAATACACTGATGAAAGGAAAGCTCATAGTCTGAAGGCCCCCATAGGCTAGATATACTGTTAAGGATGATAATGTCAGCTTCCTCACAGCAACCTGGCAATGACCTCTGCTCTGACCTGCAGAGACCACTGTCTCAAGAGGTAAAAGACAATTTAGTCCTTTATCCTTTGTAGCTGAAAATATTCCAGTGCCATAAATTCTAATCAAGGCAACTCTAATTAAAAACAAACAAACAAACAAACATATATAACATATGTTTCTTTAAAGAGTAATACAAAAGATCTACTAGCAAAACATAATCAGCCAGAAACAACTTCTACCTTGTTTCTCTGCAGCATATATATGTTTGGTTATACAGAAGGATCCACACAGTTATGAAACATGGGTAACAATGTGGGGAAGGAAAATAAAATCCCAAAGCCAATGCAGAGATTTGAAAATAAAAACTTGTTTATTTAAATGCATGCAGACATTTAACTCCCATTTCCCACTCCATATTTCAAGCATACGCAGCATTATGAAAAGATCAAAAGCCCACTAATGAGCCAAAGAAAACCACAGTCATCAGATCCATCACAAGAACTTAAGATTTCATTTCATTAGAGCAAAACCTTTTCAGCAAAGAGGGAAAAAAAAATATTAGTAGTCAATTTGTTTTTCTGTCTTGCAATAATTAAATAGGAAACACTTCTGCTCCAAAATTAGAGGCTTGGTATTGCCCTTGCTATATATTTACAGCTTTATTTATTTTTTTATTTGTAGAACTACAGACTGAATCTCAAAGAATAACTTTTTATCATACAGTAAAATTACCTTAATAGTGCAAGTGCATGCACTCCCAGCTGTTTTTTCTGTCATCTAATTATGTCACAAATTGCCTTCAATTAAGCATTAATTAAGGGCTAGATCTAACTCCAGGAAAGTCAGCCTCAGTCCACAGGGAGTTTTGATGCTTGGATCAGCCACTTCATTCTTGGGATTTTTTTACCATACTGAGACTTTTATATATGACATACCCTTGGTGTCTAACTTTTGAATCTCAACAATTTATCACACAACTAAACATTATGGGTGCTTTCTTTCTTCTAGGATTTTTTTTTTTTTTCAGAGCAACACTTCATAATTTATACTAGAATTGTTTGAAAATAGTCAAAAATGGCAAGTAGGATTAGTCAAGTTAGGATAAAATACCAGTATGTTTATTCAAGTGAAACTGCTACTTAACATTAACAAAAGCTTTCTTTAGTAAGACCGGGGGCATTTGGCCCGGGCTAGTATTTTGAAGGATATTGCAGAGCAAGACAAGTTGATCTGAAAATCACAGTGCTAGAAAAGTCATGAGCCATACTCAGTTTCTATGTTACTTAATTAGATTCTATGGTTAAAATAGGAAATATTACTTCACAAATATTTTTAAAAATAAATAACTCACCACAAGATCTCTCACAAAGCAACTTCACCTCATACTGAGATTTCTGTAACCAAAACAGTGTAGCTGTGCTAACTCACATTTCAAAACTGTGTTTTTGCAGTAATGAGTCTCAGGACAGATTCCTTTACCAACATTTTGCACCTAATTTTTGATTACTTTTTCTACTTTTTTCTGGGTTTATGTAACTTCAGTATCAAAAGTCTTTAGCATGAAGTACGCAAATTCAAAAGAGTTCACTGGTATAAAAGCACAAGTAGAGGATTACAGACTCCTGGACTATGCGACAGCATTTTCTTTCAAAGAGAAACAAACTTTTTAAATGAAAAACAGAAGTCACCACCACCAGTAGAAAACAAGCCAGCAAACAACAATAAGATGCAAACCGTCTAATCACAGTTGCTCCTGTCCTCACCCACAGGGAACAGCTGCAGCACAGTGACAAAGTGCATCTTCCCAGAGACCTGTACACCAGTTTCAGGTGGAAGCTATTTCAGATTGTCAGGCACTTATACTTAATGCTGCTGTTTCTGAGACTTAAAATGCTGCAGCATTCATCCTCTTTGTTACTGATAACAAAGCACCCATAAGAGAATCAAAAGTTTAGTGCTTCTCTTAAAAGATAAATACAACTAATCGTGCTCCTGTCCCTTCCTCACTGTCAGCAGGGACTGCTACCAAAAAGGTACCATTTTAACTTGTAACAAAAAACAAATACCCACTGTTTCTATGGCATGCAGTCAAATACCAGAACAAGAACATTTGAGAATAAGTAGGTGAATTTTAGGAAAAGGTAGAGGTGAGAAAGGCAGACCTTTGCAGATATAAACTCATTCATCAAAAGAAGCTAAGCAGAATGTGTCTGGTAAAAGAAAGCTCTTTGCATCTCATCGTTCAACTCTGTTCATCTATATGAAAATAAGACTTATGAAATATTGCTAACATAAACAAGACACACAAATGTTGGTCATTCATTCCAGCTAAATCAGTACATGATTTTCACAAATCCTTAAAAAAAATGAAAAGCAGCAGTGTAGAAAAACTTTATTCTCTAGGGACCTGTCTCCTCTTGACTTTCTAAAATGCTCCTCCCTCACCTGATTAAGAGATTTGGGGAAAAATTTCACACAGCATGTATTAATTGCTATATTTTAAAAAGATATTTATTATCTCTGATTACATGAAAGAAGGTTGAGGGAGAAAGTTGTCATTCTCTATGCCAGCACCTGTCAATATGTTTATAATAATTTAACTTCATACACTGCAAAGAAAAGTATAAAATATGCATTCCTAAGATGCTATTCATAATATTAAACAAAGAAAAAACTATAGTGTGGTGATGTTCCTTATTTATGTGTCAGAGCTTTAAACACAACTGTACTTGATCATTTTTAGTGTTTACTGCAAATCTGTCTTAAGGGATGCACTGTGATATAACATCTAATCATCTTTATTTTAAATTGGCTCAGTTTGATCCTCAAATGTATCAAAATTGCCCCACTATCCTTTTTTTTTTTTTTTGTTATAAAAGTTACTAAACACAATTGAAAAGAGCTGTTGCTAATAGATCTGTAGCATCCCTCATATTGTAACAAAACCTCAATAAATGGACATAAGTTCATACCAAGGCATTTGGCCTATTTCACCTACTCTTGTTTACTTGGGAACATCTTTTTGGCAGTATAAAGATCAGACTAGCAAACATCTTACACTCGCCAATAGAAAAAGCACAATATATGAATTTTTAGCTCTTTCACTAGTGCTTTAGTGAGATAAATTATATTTTCAACCCAGAAAGAAGCAAGATATGGTTACACATCATTTCTATATCACACACGACAACTCTAATGAAAGTGTCTGTGTATATTTCACTACCACTATAGAACATACAAATGACAAGGGCTCAAAAAATATCCTGCCTTTTATTAGAATACTTGCCTGATTGAAAAACAAACAGACATTTCACTATCCTGAAATTAAAAGCTCATTTTTTTGCTTTCTCTGTGACTTGCTGTATTTAATAAAAGGAAAAAAAACATTTGAGCAAATAAAACATATAAACACAGCTGAAGATATCTATATGACTCTAAATAACTGGTAGCTTTTTGAATTTTAGACATTATAGTTCTTTCCTGGATAAAATGGGCTAAAATAATTATTATATGCTTTTTGAACATTCAAACTGCTAACGGAAATTATGCTTTCCATGGAAACAAAGATTACTAAGACGGTGCTTAAAAATGGATGTGATATTCAGTAACAGTCATTACTGCAATCCAGAAATTAAATTTTAGGGGGATCTAATTATTATTTTTCCTGCATCTGTAGTGAGGTTATTTAGTAAAACATTCTGTGCTGTATCTTTCAGTAATGTGTAAAGAATATTATAATATACAATTGCACGTGTTATTTTGTTTTTAAAAAATCTTACTGTTCTTATTGTAGGTAGAATACTGAAATCTGAACACTGCTACAGATTTCCTTACAGATTATGAAATCAAAAGTTAAATCTTAGAAAATGGGTTCTCACCCCCTCTCCCTTAGAGCTGCATTCCCTTTAAACAAGACCTTTTTCCCTTTGACTTCCACCGATAGAATAATAAAAAATAAGTAAGTGCTCCATTTTTATTAAGGTTTGTCTCAGGTCACAAGTAGAAATAATTAAAAGGGACTTCTTCAGGAGTGTAGTCCTTCTAAACCCCAAATGTCACAATGTACCATACAGTGCTGCTACAGCTCAGACACCTATCAACATCTATCACTCAAGCACGCGCCTCAACAGCTCTGCTCCCTTTTCTGATTAGAGATCAGAGTTGCTTGAGTTGGCTTACAGGGTGTCATCCGTTTGAATGACAGATGTCTGTGTTGGAGTGCCACTCTCACTGCTTTTGTTTTGATTGTGAAATGTTACACTTATATAATCACACAATTTGGACTATTCCAAAATGAATAAAAAATCAAAAGGTAATATCTCTTTCCACAGGCTTGAGGAGAAATATTTAATTTCTTATTTAAATTCCAAAAACATTAGGTCCACGTGCAATACCCTTACTAGGCTTTGTTTACTCAGCATGAAGTGCTTTCTACAAGAATCTTTCAGTTCTCTTCAGCCAGATTTATTTTTACCATAAAAGAATTATAACTTTTCAGTTTAATCAAGCCTCAGAAAAAGCTGGTAGTGTGTGCAACACACCAGCATCTACCACAATAAGTGTTAAAGTACTCCTGGAAAATAACACACACACACACACACACACATACACACACATAATTTTACGTTACAGTCCATGGTTCAAAAAAACGCATACAATATCTGCAACTTGCACTAAATACGTAAATTGTTAGCAAAAGTTTTCAGGACCAATGCTGTCATTCTGGTAACCAGTTGCAATAGGAGCAGAGGACTCTGTGCCTGCATGCTCCAAGCTACTCTTGCCTACTTACAAGAAAATTGAGCGGAGAAAAAAAAAAAAAAAAAAAAAAAAAAAAAAGAACGGGAAGATTGCTCTTCCGGACAACATGGTAGCAGTGAAATGAAATACCTAGACAGACTTACCGAAGAGCTTGCTGGGAGTGTCCTCGCTGTCATTTGATTCCACAGGCGCAAGCAAGGGCTCATTCAGCTCGTTGTCTGAAGTAGCTGCCTTGTCCTCACCTCTCAACTCTGCATTCATTTCACTCCGCAGTGACAGCAAGGGCTTACTGACTTGTCCAGCTATCATTGGATCCTAGAATGGGGGGGAAAAAAGAGTGAGGGGGAAAAAAAGTGGCAGCTTTGGTGTGCGTGTACTCTCTCTTCCACTCCCTCTCTCTCTCACACACACACATACACACACTCTCTCTCTCTCTCTCTTATCTGTGGCTGCTCCTGCTGTTATTGCTGGCTGCAGTCAAGTGAAGAGCTATTACAGATCCAATGAGTTTTCCATTACTCCCCACCCTATTAAAGCTCAACTAGCATGTGAGAGATTCAGGATGCTTTGGAGAAAAACTTCTATGAAAGCAACATAACCAACACAGCTTTAATTATGGGATGTGCTTTTTTTGTGTGTATGTTTTTACACCTCACCCTGTCCTTAGCATAGTAAGAGAAGAAATTCCTATATGCTCTGATACCACAGAAGAGGAGCCCCCTGTGAGTGCTCCATAGCGATTTAAAGAGGCATCCTCAGTTGTATAACATTAACAAAATCAAATACACAGTTTCTAGCATTACAGCATTTCTATGAAAATACACAGCATCTAATAGCCATTTCATTACGTACTTTTAAAAGAGATACAGTTTTCTTCTAACTCTTCCTGTTGTTGGGATACTGTGCTCCAAAAATCCATAAAGACACAAACACGCATTTTTCTTTTGATAATAAAAAACCACAGAAAACATTTTCTAAAAGATAAAATTATGGAAGATACTTACACATACAGTTTGCAATTATTCTTGTATTTGCAATATTATATGCCCCATAAAACATTACACATATATATATATGTACACATCTAAATTTTTCCTTGATGATCAGAATCTGTTTTATCTTCTGCTCGTTGAGGATGTTTAGGGGTCAGGCATTATTTCCAAGCACACTCAGTTATTCCGCTTGCAAAATAATAAGCATAATATCATGACAGCACAGAAAGCAGAGAAAAACCAAAAAAAAAAACTAAGAAAAAGAAAAAGAGCAAGTGACCTTGTTGATCTCTCTAGCAGCTATTTATCGCAAAGTTCATGCCTAAATGGTTCTTATGCAGAGAACAGGTGACCAGCGAGCAAGTAGGTTGGCTAGCATGTTCCCTCTGTCCCGTCCTTACATTGGTCGATGCTCGCCTGTGGGTTTTTTAATGTATTCATGTCTGAAAAGTGAATTTGATATGACACATGATAATCTATGAAAATGTTAATCAATACAAATAGTTTAAGCTGTCATCAAATGCTCTTCTTTAGTCAATACTCATACTGCTGAAAACAATGTCACTGTCACCAGGGCTCAATTTGCACAGCACTTAAATATTGGACTCTGTGCATCAATGCACTCCTCTTCAAATACTGTAGGTAAACACATTTTCTCCCTATTTAAGGCTGAAGCACTCAGCACGCATTTAGTTGAGCCGAATCCTCCCTTTTGAATACCTTGATAGGTCCACTGGAGGGCAAAATTAATACTTAATTGAATCTCACAGTCATCAAAATAATCAATACTTTTTTATTATTTATTCTTTACAGTCTGTTGACTGTTTCAAACCTCTGAGGGAATGGTGGAAAGGATTCATGGCTTTGAAACACTGTCATTTAACAAGGTAATTTTCAGTGGGGCATTAGGGGTTGTGAAACATATAATAAAACAAAAATGGTGGCTTATAATAGGAAGAAAGAAAAGAATTATATTTCTGCCATCTAACAAAACAGGATAAATAAAAAAGCAAGTGCAAGCAGGAGAGGGAGAAAGGAGGGGGAGAGGGAAAGAAAGACTGGCTTTTGAAGGGTTTTATCATATCAAGAGCAGAGCTGAGCTTTCATAATGCTGACATTTCTCATTCTGACAATCCTAAACAAGTGGAAAGGATGAGATCGCAGATATCATCTTTCATCACATTCCCCAGCTTAAGAACCAACATGACAGCTTCTCTTCCCTTTACACTGTTAATTACTAAATAAAATACTGCTCTCTGTCAGCATTAGATTATTGCAGATAGCAACCACAAACATTACTCCATTGTTTTGTTTTTGTCTTTTTTTAAACCAGTGATACCTACCTTGAACTCTTCAGAAAATAAATTAGGCTTGTGTCTATATATTGTAAATATATGAAACATAATCAATTTAATCAATTTGGTCAATCCATGTTATTGTCAGGCTAAATTGCTGGCAATTTATTAACATTTCATTTACTGTATTTATTAGGCAGCAACAATCTGAACATTTCTTAGATGTTTCTGGAGAGGAAACGAAAACCAACAGATTTTGTTTGCAGACACTGTAAAAAACTCTGAGTTGTTTTGCCTCATACTCATAGTGCACTATGGACAGTCATTTACTGAGGCAAAAAATTTGTTTGCTTTCATATACTAAATAATGTATTTTAGTGGGTTTTGCAGCTAAAGGTCATTGTGAACACAAACAGCATTGTTTCAGTCTGTGCTGCTTCTCTCAGTTTCAGCTACTCAAAACTAACATCAAGATTAGTTACTAACATCCATAACAAATGAAAATCAGAACAAAATATGACCTTTTTCATCAAAGTAGTTTGGGGAGGGAACTAATCATGTCCACAGAGAAAAACTCCTGATCTGAGGACTAACAGCAATTTAATGGATTTAATGGAATCTGTAGGATTCTAGATTAAGTCTAAGTTGCCAGATTCTAAAATTGAATGTATGAAAAATGAGGAGGAAGAATAATGTGGGAAATGTGACAGCACTGGGAGAAACCTCAGCCCTTCGATGCCAGTGAATTCACAGCAACTTCAACAGAGCCAGGGTTTTATTTGTTATGTATATCAATAATTTGGTCTCATCTGGAATATTTTGTTCATTCTGGTTAGCCTATCTAAGAAAAATACATCAGAAAAAGGTGCAGTAAGAATGATAAACTGATCGAAAGGACTGGAAGTGTGACTGAGCGTGATCAAAGGATACAAGAAAATAAACAGCAGAGAGAAAATGTAGATCAGAAACTATTCACCCTAACTCATCTGAGGAGAAAAGGTGTCTCCACTGAAATGGGAAAAAGTCATAAATCTAATAGTAATGCATTATATTTTTCTAAACAGTAGGTGGTAGAAAATCTGTTGAACTCACTGCTGCAAGGTATCACTGAGACCTGCACTGCAGCAAACATCAACATAGTCACTTACATGGCTGGCCATACTTTTTGCAGTGAATTTGCAAACACAGCTTTGCAAACACGTAGACAAGGACTATAAAAAGTGAATTAACATAAACTTCTGCCCCCTCCCTCAGGCAGCTCAAGAACCTGTATTTAACCCCCAGGGTAGCTCTCTCTGTCAGGTGGTAAATGAACAACAACTTTCTCTCTAAACAAACGGATAGATATGCTCCAAATTTCTAGTCTACAAGAAGACTAAATAAATCACTTAAATGGTGACTTAAGGAAAGGTATGTTTCCTTGACAAATATATTAAAAATTGGACATTTTTAAACTTCAGGTTATCTTCAGGCCTTCAATTGCTTTCTGTGCTTAAAAACATGCCTGCTCTACAGTGAATTATGCACAATTAAAGACTATTGTTTTTGCAAAACACATAATAAATTATAATTCTAGTGCACAGCAAGTGGCCTAGTTTGCAAAATCCCTTGGTGATCAAAGGGGTTTTTCCTGTATTTCCTAATGGCCTCCCTAAAAAAAAATCTGGAGTAGTTGCTATGATAGCTGCAGGCCCAGCAGCCTTCTCCTCTTCTTTTGCCCACCTACAAGTCCATCCCAGAGAGGATCTGCAGCACTGGAGAGAATGCATTGAGGCAAAGAATTGCATATGCATCTTTAGTAGCTAATATTGTCAGGACCTGTTCTTCTGCACTGGATGTCTGTGGGCTTGACATTCAGTATTTGCTTTTTGGAAGGTGCTCTTTGGAAGGTGCTATAGGTCAGATTACACTTTGCAATGTAACAGAGGCTCTTCTGTTCACTGACAGCCACACAAAAGTTTCAGCTTTTCATATGCAAAACTGAAAAGTCTAAGAATGCTTAAAACCAGCAAGATGAACTTTTTCAAAAGGGTTTATATGCTTTAAGTAAGAAGCAAGGGCCCATTATGCTTCAGAATTCTAGGATTCAAGATTTGAGAGAACTAAGGAATCACAATCCCCTTATTTAAAAGATAGCTGTATATACCACACATGTAGTGACAAATTATATACACATCTCTTGCAGATACTCATATAAATTGTCATCTATTTCTTGTCCAACTAGCACTAGTACTTCCAGACTTGCCTGTTTCCTGTGAGATCTCCCTGACAGCTTTGTGCTGCAAGTGGTCCTTCCTGCTGTGTGTCTCCCTGAAGGGGTGGCTTATACCTCCTGTAATTCAGTTACAGTACCTGATACACCACTTTTCAGCTCTACCACTCCCTGATGGTTTAAACTGGCTGTTGGGCTTAATTTAATAGTAAAAATCCTGTGGATTTGCAAATGCAAATTACAATTCTGGTAACACACCCTCTTCTAAAAGCTAAAACCTTTACTTTTTTCTTACCTGTAGGACTGTACGAAGTACAGGACAACATTTATCACAGTGTTAAAAGCTTTGCCTTTGCACTTTAAAGGTAGAAGTGCAGTTTCTAAGCAAAACTATTTAGTAATCAGACATCTTTTAAAAGAAACTGTATAGGGTTTGTGTCAAACATGCCCTAGGTAGAAGTCTAAAAATTAATTACTTTCTTCCTTAATGTAGGACTTAGGTGATAACAGGGCTTCGTAAAGGCTTCACGTACTGATTTAGCCACAGGTCTAAATTTTGTACTTACTGCACCATAAACCTTGTTGCTCTGAATGTAGTTACTTTCTAAATTCTAGTTCAGAGAAAAAGTAAAGTCCTCTGTTTTGCTTTTTATTTTGCCCATAGTTTGAAGTTAATTTGCACAGACTTTTTTCCCCCCCTACTGTAAAAGTATTCGAAATCAATTTACTGCTTTTCTTCAAAACATTAAATAAATCCTGCCCAAACCACCACCCCCAATCATGATATTGCACAGACTTCTATTTAGGACATACACA